GCACCTTATCCGTGAAAGTTGCACATTCTCTGTGAAAGCTGCACCTTATCCATGGAATGACAACTTATCCGTGAAAGTTGCACCTTCTCTGTGAAAGCTGCACCTTATCTGTTGAACTACACCTTATCCATGAAAGCTACATGTTATCCTTGAAAGCTACACATTATGCATGACAGCTACACTTTATCTTTGAAAGTTTATTCGTGACAGCTACACATTATCTGTGAAAGCTACACTTTATCTATGAAAGCTACACTTTATCTATGAAAGCTACACTTTATTTGCGAAAGCTACACTTTATTTGTGAAAGCTACACTTTATTTGCGAAAGCTACACTTTATATGTGAAAGCTACACTTTATCCATGAAAGCTACACTTTATCCATGAAAGCTACATTTTATTTGCGAAAGCTACACTTTATCTGCGAAAGCTGCACTTTATCTGTGAAAGCTACACTTTATCCATGAAAGCTACACTTTATCTGTGAAAGCTACACTTTATCCATGAAAGCTGCACTTTATCTGTGAAAGCTACACTTTATCCATGAAAGCTACACTTTATCCATGAAAGCTACACTTTATCTGTGACAGCTCCACTTTATTCATGAAAGCTACACTTTATTCATGAAAGCTACACTTATCTGTGACAGCTACACTTTATCTGTGACAGCTACACTTTATCTGTGACAGCTACACTTTATCTGTGACAGCTACACTTTATCTGTGAAAGCTACAATTTATCCTTGAAAGCTACACTTTATCCATGAAAGCTACACTTATCTGTGACAGCTACACTTTATCTGTGACAGCTACACTTTATCTGTGACAGCTACACTTTATCTGTGACAGCTACACTTTATCCATGAAAGCTACACTTTATCCATGAAAGCTACACTTATCTGTGACAGCTACACTTTATCTGTGACAGCTACACTTTATCTGTGACAGCTACACTTTATCTGTGACAGCTACACTTTATCTGTGAAAGCTACACTTTATCCTTGAAAGCTACACTTTATTTGTGAAAGCTACACTTTATCTGCGAAAGCTGCACTTTATCTGTGAAAGCTACACTTTATCCATGAAAGCTACAATTTATCTGTGAAAGCTACACTTTATCCATGAAAGCTACACTTTATCTGTGAAAGCTACACTTTATCCATGAAAGCTACACTTTATTCATGAAAGCTACACTTTATCTGCGAAAGCTACACTTTATTCATGAAAGCTACACTTTATTCATGAAAGCTACACTTTATCTGCGAAAGCTACACTTTATTCATGAAAGCTACACTTTATTCATGAAAGCTACACTTTATTTGTGACAGCTACACTTTATTCATGAAAGCTACACTTTATTCATGAAAGCTACACTTTATCTGTGAAAGCTACACTTTATTTTTGAAAGCTACACTTTATTCATGAAAGCTGCACTTTATCTGCGAAAGCTAAACTTTATTCATGAAAGCTACACTTTATCTGCAAAAGCTACACTTTATTTTTGAAAGCTACACTTTATTCATGAAAGCTACACTTTATCTGTGAAAGCTACACTTTATTTGCGAAAGCTACACTTTATTCATGAAAGCTACACTTTATTCATGAAAGCTACACTTTATCTGCGAAAGCTACACTTTATTCATGAAAGCTACACTTTATCTGCAAAAGCTACACTTTATCCATGAAAGCTACACTTTACCTGTGAAAGCTACACTTTATCCATGAAAGCTACACTTTATTTGCGAAAGCTACACTTTATCTGCGAAAGCTACACTTTATCCATTAAAGCTACACTTTATCTGCGAAAGCTACACTTTATTCATGAAAGCTACACTTTATCTGTGAAAGCTACACTTATCTGTGACAGCTACACTTTATCCATGAAAGCTACACTTTATTTGTGAAAGCTACACTTTATCTGCGAAAGCTAAACTTTATCTGCGAAAGCTACACTTTATCTGCGAAAGCTGCACTTTATCAATTAAGGCTACATGTTATCTATAAAAGCTACACCTTATCCGTGAAAGTTGCACCTTATCCATGAAAGCCATACTTTATCCGTGAAAGTTACATGGTATCCGTGAAAGCTACACATTATTCGTGAAAGCTATACTTTATTCGGGAAAGCTACACCTTATCTATGAAAGCTATACTTTATCCGTGAAAGTTACATGGTATCCGTGAAAGCTACACATTATTCGTGAAAGCTATACTTTATTCGTGAAAGCTACACCTTATCCGTGAAAGCTACAATTTATGTGCGATGTAGACACTGTAAAGTAGAGAAAACTTCTCGACAAACACCATCATCATCGTATGCCTTGCATATCTGCAGACAGAGTTCCAGAAAAGGACTCTCACCCCTGACCAGAGACCCTTAGGGGCAGGCAACTGGTCATAAAATAATTATCCCCCCTGAGATTATCTTCCTTGAACTGCAGACCACAGCGTGTCATAAAATGATTACATCATCAGCCAGACTGGGCCCTTTCAACAGATAAGATGAGGGGAACTAACCTTACCATATGCTCAATGTCACTGGAAAGATAATATTCCGGAAAACATTCACATATAAAATGGTTTGGGTTTTCAGCACATAACCTGCTCCACGTGTTCAAGTAAAAACAATGTCAGCCAGTTTGGAAGTCTGAGTAAAGACAGACAGCAGACTTAGGAAGTCAGCTATCATGACAGAACATGAGAGGGAAGGCAAGATATGTTAGACGTCAGTGTGAGATATTAGGACATTCAGACTAGACTGGGGAGAATGTGGAAGATGAGAAGGAGAGATGTATATATATATTGTATTAGTATATACATGCTTAGTTTCTTTTTCTTCTTCTGCGTTCGACATCAGTCATGCTAAACATTGAGTCCCGTCTGGGTCAGAAATATAATTGTGCGTTTAAGGTCGCCACCGGTCCCCCATAGCTTCTTATGATAGTGATGAGATGCTTCAGCTAGAAAACTGAGCATATGGGATTAAAGAAGTTATGATGATGATAAGTTTACGAACAAGATGTTGACGTAACTTAGTGATAAGGCAAGATAAAACATCTGACAGCCGTAAGGCACTGTCAAGCTTTTCATTTTCCCCTTTACTGCTTCAGGTATGGGGGTCGTGTTAGCGCAGTTGATAGGATACTTGCTTTCAAATCCAGCTGCCCCCGCTGCAGCCCACGGTCGGTGCTCGAAACCAGGCGGTTCCTGGGGTTCACCCAGCCTCTAGGTAATGGGTACCAGAGTTAACACTGGGGTAAATGGAGGAATGTTGCTGTAGCTACGGCGTTGAGTGCGGACAGTTTCTTATCAGCTGTCAGTACTGGTGGCAGAGCACTTATGGTTTATAACCGTGTGCAGTGATGCTGGTTCAAATCTTCCGATTTTACTTTACTTTTTGTTTGCTTCAGGTATTGAGGGATATACATAGTACGTGACTCTAGTTCTTCCTTTTCTGGCTTTACAAGTGTCGACTATGGGCACTTGATTCTTTTGTAGGGTGAGGATAGAAGTGAGTCAGAATATCCCAACAAAAAACTGACTAGTGTAGGGTTCTGATCACACTGAGCCATGAGTGAAAGGACTGGCTAGCTAAATGATTCATGACAATTCTCACCCAGGTATAGAGACGGCTCTGTGTCGAGAGGCAGATAAAGCTCAAAGGCGTTCTTAGAAAAAAGTGAATGAATGTCACCTAGTGCAACAGAGCCTGGCGTTTGACACCACAACGTCTAGTTTGAGAATGGATGCGGAGACAGTCACTACAGCCTTTCGCTGGCTTGAGAATCAGCTGTACACACATGTCGTAATTGTAACCGAATCACATAGCATGTTGAGAAAGATGGAGACATTATGCGCTGTGGTGAAGAGTGGCAAGCATTGCTTGAGAGGTCTTGAGTAGTTAGCATCCTTTGGATATTTTCCCCTGAATATGCCAGTGTATTAGGAAATGAATAAGCAGAAAGACTGGATGGTTATGTGATGAACTGATGCAACTGCCTCAACCTGATCCCTGATTGACATGCTTATATCGAAAATGATACCAAGGTACCTCGGTTAGCTTTCATTTTTGATATTACTGTTATTAATTGTGAGGCTTGGAACATTAGCTTTTACAATTCCAGAGAGCACCACAAAACAGCTGCCTTTTCTGAGTTAATGTCAGCACCAATTCCTGCATACCAGTCAGCCGCTTTGACTACAGTTGCCTGTAACTCTCATGCTGTCTATTGCTTGTGTCTTCTTTATTCAAACGTATGCTGTCTGCTTCTTTCGCTTCCCTGCCCTTATGCAAGAACATTATCTGCAAATGTCAATATCTTCCAACACCTGTTGCTTCAAATTCTGCAATTTTGCTTGAATATTTATTGAGGAGCACTGGCGACATTGCAGAACCCTAAGGTAGTCCCGGAGCGATATTTAATGAATCTAAAGTCCATGCACCCAGGCCAAAGGCAACCACGCGTGAATGCAGGACAGCTGCTATCACAAGCATCTGACTCTAATGTGGGCATCCTCAAGATCAAGTGCTGCCACAACCGTATCCTGTCTATTTTGGAACCCCTCATAAAACATCAAAAGTAGCTGCATTTGACCAGGTATCTTTCCACGGCCGGGAACTACCCAAACCTTTTGGCGGCAGCTCTTCTTGAAAGATCTGATGAGAAAGCCAGAGGTCGCCCTAGGAGGATTTGGATTGATGACATTAACGAGCTTCTACATCGACACGGAATGACGATAGCCATAGCTGCCCATCTAGCCATGGATCGCAAACTGTTCCTCCCCACCGTGCTTAGAGGCAGAAGTGGAAACTAATGATGATGAATGTCCATACTTTGTTATTTATCAACCGAATCAGTTTTACTACGAACAGTGAGGCTATTTTTAGCTGTCATGTGACTGTCGTGCGGTTTAAAGATAAATATGATGTCTGTCTAGGGTCTAACTTCTGTCACATGTGGTTACTTTAACGAAACTGCAGCTACAAAGAGAATGTTTAACATGAATCATACACGTGTAATACTTCTATTTTTTATAATATGGTCAGTAAGCGCAAAGGATACGCTGTTACCGGTTGTGATCAATACGTGGCCTTTCACAAATGCCACTGCTTCAGGTAACTGGAAACATCACAATAATAATATTAATACTATTATTAATAGTCCAATACTAATACTTATACTATACTGAGTATACTCGTGCTAGTTATACTACTGATATGATATATTGAAGAAAAAAAATGTATATATCAATATTTGTAGAGTTAGTGTTCATTTGAAAAAGCGAATAGTAGGTCGAGAAGAGGTCTTGGAAATTTAGAAAAACGGTAGACTTAAGAATGTTTTTTTTTTTTTAATGGAAACAACCACTGACACAGCTCCGGAGAGACGAAACTACACAAATGAAGAGAAAGACCAGAGTTGTTGCAAGAAATAAAGCAGGCAAGAGAAATATAGTGTGGCGACATTAAAAGATTGGGCTATCCTCCGAATAACGGTCCTAAATTATCGAGGCCGAAAATATACACTAACAGCCTCAGTCACCTGTAAGTGTAAATTGCGGACTTCCGGCAACTTAAATTGCGGACTCCGGCGACTACCGCCACCACTGAGAGTATTTCTCACGCCGCTACGCAGGGCTAAACTATATGGCTGGGACTCACAAGCAGTAGCTACCCCATCTCCTGCAGCTTCCTTCATTTATTTTTAGTTTAGCACCGCGCCATGCCGCGTATAGCGGCATGGGAGATACTCTGGGTATTGGCATTAGTCGCCAGAAGTCCGCAATTTACATGTGACTGAGGCCCTGTTAGGGTATATTTTCTGAGTCAGTTACAATCACGATCTGTGTGTCGTGTTTTCTAACCAGTGGAAAGCTGCTGTGACCGCCTCCACCTCCATTCTTAAGCTGGATGTTGTGGTATTATATGCTAGGCTCTCCTGTACCAATCATCGACCATTAACTTTTGCTAAGAAATCCCAGGCTCTCCTTACAATAACAGTCGCTACTCGGACGGCAACGGCCGCTTAGTCGGAGTTCAGTCCCCTGGCTGCAGTGCAATTACGGAGTGGACAAGGCATGAATCACAAAACACAGTGAGTTCAACATGGCGTCTAGACCACGCGCTGTGACTCACATTAGCCTAACCCTACCCTTAGCCCTAATTATGTCATTTGTGTCGTTCCCTCTAAGCGGCCGTCTCCGTCCAAGTAGCGACCGTTATTGCAAGGAGAACCAAATCCCAAGCACTTCTTTTGCCTCTTGACACTGAACTGTCTGTGTAAATGATCAAATCCTCTGAGTGAGCATTATCTTGAATTAATTGCTGAATTTGCACCTTTGTGGCACCTGCTGGCCAGTCTCTGCATTCCTGGCTTAATGTGATTATGACCCTACACAAGTCTGACTGCTCAGGTGGCACTTTGACCCACTCCTCTCCTCGCCTATTGTTCTCAAGGATGCAAACCTGTCTGATTGTGTTATTCTAACTATAATAATAAGAATAGCTCCATGATGGGAGCATACCCAGCTGGAGTCTACCGATCTTCAGTAGATGTCCCTCTTTCAACATTTGTTTTGGCTCCCCTTACCTCCTAGAAAATTTTGAGGGGGGGCGGGGGGCGGCCTGGTTCATGACTCCTGGGCAACAAGTTAGGGTAATTGCAACAAGTACTGAAGTTATGGTGATCGTCGCTGCAGTAGCAAATTAACTGCCTACCTACTTGACTAGGGAGACAAATGTATGGTTGGTTTATCAAGCAGACATTAACTAATTTTTATATATAGTTAATTTTTTTAACTCCTTCAAATGTTATTAGTTCAAAATAACCGTCGTTCTTCATCGTGTTCTCCGGCTATAGACTCCGGCGGAAAGTTCTGGGTGTTCTTCCAACTCTGGACATTAGAATTGTTCCAGAACCCGGGTTTTGCATGCAAACCCACTTTACAGATGTGACTTATTTGTGTGCAGACTGTTGGTTCCTTGCCTCTGAGGCAAATGTACTCTGACCTCAAAGGAAGCCCCCAGGTAGTCAACTCTTACTACATGCTTACTGGGGAGGCAGTGGGTCTATTGTTGTTTTCCCCACAATGAGGCCCTGGAACCCACACGAGGGAAAAAAAAGTAACAGTTGTTTTGTTTAGAACAAATTAAAGTAAAAATGTCTGGCAACAGAGTTAAAGATGGACAATAAAGAAAGAAAAATATTAATTATCAAAGAAAATGCATAACTCTTTTCTGTTCTTTATCCTGTGATAACAAGTATTGGAAATAGAATAATCTGCTTGTTTGATTGTAGCATGGGAAGTTCTACAGAAGGGTGGAAGTGCCGACGACAGTCTTGTTGTTGGATGTAGTACGTGTGAGCGGCTTCAATGTGATGGCAGTGTGGGATTTGGAAGCAATCCTGATGAATCTGGTGAAACTACACTGGATGCTATGATCATGGATGGGTGGGTTTGTGTGTTTCCTTTTCATAATTGTATTTCTGCAGTGTTATGTTCTTGACTAACCTTGATCACATTATGGTTAACTTGTGTAGGTAAATCATCTCTTCAGTACTCCAGATTTCCTGTATAGGTTCCAGGGCTCTATTATGGGTAAAACAAAAATAGACCCACTGCCGGCTCTCCTTGCAATAACGGTCGCTAGTTGGACGGCGACGGCCGCTTAGTCGGAGTTCAGTCCCCTGGCTGCAGTGTAATTACGGAGTGGAAAAGAGGGAACGACACAAATGACATAATTAGGGGTAGGGTTTGGGTTAGGGTGTGGGTTAGGGTTAGGCTAATGTGAGTCGCAGCGCGTGGTTTAGGCGCCATGTTGAACTGACTGAGTTTTGTGATTCGTGCCTTTTCTACTCCGTAATTGCACTGCAGCCAGGGGACTGAACTCCGACTAAGCGGCCGTCGCCGTCCAAGTAGCGACCGTTATTGCAAGGAGAACCCCACTGCCTACCCAAAAGCATGTTGTAAGAGTGGACTAATTGGGAGCTTCCTTTGAAATCGGAGTGCATCTGCCTGAGAGACAAGGAACCAACAATCTGCATACAAATTTCACATCTGTCACACAACACTCAGATTCTGGAACAGGACTGCAGTCCTGAAGTGGACGAACAACCAGAACTTTCCACCAGAGTTTACAGCCGGTGAACGCGAAGAAGAAGAAGAAGAATTCTCCAGTTATGTCTACTGAATAGTTATGCAGGGTTTCAGTCAGTCAATGAGCATGCCAGTTCAAGGATAACAGATTTGGAGTCACCGAAAATGGATAAGGACCAAAATATTTATCACATAATGAGAAGATTCTTTAGACTACACAAAGGTTGATTGAGCAATATGTCATTACTCTTATTTGATTGTAAATGAATTCGATAACAGAACAGAGTTTTTTTCTATGGAAACTGTTTATTGTGGCTTATAGTCAAGCTTTCAATCCTAAAAAATGTTTCCAAATCTAGGGGTCAGCTTATAAAATTTCCAGTAAGTCTTCTTCTTCATGCTCACCAGCTGTAGACTCGGGTAGAAAGTTCTAGTTGTTCGTCCACTTCTGGACTTTAGTTTTCTTCCAGAAATTATATTTTGCATCTACATCCATTTTACAGATCTGGCTCATGATTATGCAGACTGTTGGTTCCTTATGTCTCCTGCAGATGCACTCTGAATTTGAAGGAAACACCCTTAATTAGTAGACTTTTATGTCATGCTTATGAGGGCCTGTGGTTCTTTTCTTTCACACGCCCCCTGGAACCCTGACAGGAAATTTTGTCAATTAAACCTGGATAACTCTTGCCAAACCAGTAGGTACACTGATAATTACTCATCTCCTTCAGGATTTGCTACCAAATGTAAGACAGACAGACTTTTCATAGTGAGCCAAATAAAAGTCTGGTGTCAAGTGTTTTGACCACTTTATGTTTCTTATACTCATCAGGGACGGGCCAGCTACGGATTATTTATTCAGCTATTATGACTGACCAGTTTATAAAGTTATAATTGTATTTTCAGAGCAACATTTGCCGTGGGAGCTGTAGGCGACTTACGCCGAGTAAAAAATGCAATTGGTGTGGCCAGGGCAGTGATGAAGTATTCTGATCACACTCTTCTGGCAGGAGAGTCAGGTTAGGATCGAAGTGTTTTGTCTACTGTGTCTAAAATATATGTTTTTTTTTTGGTATCTGAAGCTATTCTTATTTTTTCTCCTTCTGTTTTTAGGGATTTGAGAGTTTGGTTGGTCAAGAGACAAAACGCTCTCAAGCAGAAAAAGACATTCATATAAAATTGTTAGTTATATTTTAAAATAAAGGCTATAATAGTTACAGATTTTAAAAAAATTTGAATAAATAAAAATTATCACTCACGCCTACCTCTCATTGGGGGGGGGGGGGGGGGGTGCTCTCTTTTTTGTTTTTGACCATGAGTTTCTGTACAAGAACATTCTAGTCAAATTATTATTCTTTTTTCTTTTTCATTTGTACTGTGTTAGGCACTGGCATCTTTTCCACATATCTTGCTTTACAATCTACATTTTAGATAGTTTCTGTATTTTGTTGTTAGTCCTGATGGTCAAGCTCTTTAAGATTCTTGCAAAACATAAAGAATTATTGTTCCTGTGATATAAATAGAATTCATACTTTCATGCACATGTTGGGTAGAATCTACCTTTATATATCTTTGCCTACTTGGGGCTAGTGAATCTTTTATGTCTTGTTTTGATATTTAGTATAAAACTGCAGTAAAATTTAATAGCTATTGTCAAAATGGTGGGGGTGTGTGCTTGGTGTGGTTTGATGTGTGTATGTATGTGAGAGAGAGAGTGTGTTGTGTATTTATAAATAGGTAACTAAATGGGGGAGGGGGGAGACTGATGCAGCCTAACTGACATCACTCCTCATGCATTTATCTGTATATTTTCCTGTATTGCCACACTCATTCAACATTTTTTGGTTACTCAAATGGCAGCAGGTAGTTTCACATTAGCTTTATTGTAGTGACATTTCTAGCTGGTCCACATTGAAACGGGCAGGGATATTGCAGAGTTAAACTCTGGGCTAACACCTGAGCACATTTTGCAGACCTGCCCACTCTTGAAAAGACACCAGGCCTCGAGAGCAAAGTGAGCAGTGCAAGCTATAGGGAACCATGAAGGACCTGCTGCTGACATGCGAGTTCACAGAGGCAACCCACCTGATGGTCTGATCTGAGCATCCGAAACCGAACACAAAGAAGAAGAAGAAGAAGAAACTCTTGGCTGATATAAAGAGAGGGGTGAAGGGAGATACCAGCAGAGGTGCTAACCAAATTCAACTGGACTCAAAGCTTATTCAAAGAGGGAGGGAATTATTGCACAGTGAAACTCAATTTTCTGCTTAAAAAAGAGAAAGACACTTTCTTGTTTTCAGCAACCAAATTTGCTGTGGAGATGGGGTTCAAGGAAGAATCATTGACCACAAACAAGTCACAGGCCATGTTTAATGACTGGGTAAAGTCTAACTGTCAGCCCAATTTTAGACAGGTGGGTAAATTATTCATCCTCCAACATGACGAGCTTTGTTTTTAATTAAAAAAGATTAAAGACATCAAAGGACCATTTTGTATGTCCTTAGGCATGTTGGGCACATAACACTAGACTTATATTTTACAAACCAGTTGGCACTCGGTGGATGATGTAGTCAACATCACACCAGCTGCCTTTACTTTCCAGGACTTTACCTGTTACCCATTTTAGGCTGGATTGACCTGAGAGCAAAGGTCATGAACAAATCTAGCTCAAAGAGGATTTGAACCTACAGCTTTTCGGGTCCAATGTGGGCGTAAAGCCACTACACATTGCATGCTCCCCTTAAGAGCAGTAGCTAATTGTGTTTATAATTTGCCCTTCAGTCATTAAAGGATAACACAGGATTTTATCATGCACTGTAAATGTATAATATCTAAGTCATCAGTCTATCTTCTCCATGAACAGTCTTTCCTTCACTTCAGATTTTATTAGGTGTTATACAAAACTATTTTATTGACTGCTTCTCAATGATTTTAGCCAAGATGTTGTTCCCTTATAGTGTCTTAAAGTACTATTAGTGTAATTTTCCATCTTATAGTACTGATAGTATAATTTTCCATCTTATAGTACTGATAGTATAATTTTTCCAGTACTGATAAATTTTTCCACTTAAATAGTGTAATTTTCCAGTACTTAAGTACTCATAGTGTAATTTTCCATTTTCTTATAGTACTGCTTTTTGTTGCAGAATGTCATAGTGTACCAGTTTTCATTTATCTTATCAGCCGTACATGACACTATTGGTAGATTGTCATCGATCAGAGGTGTGGTCTGGTACATCCACAGCAAACCATAGATACCGGGTTTTTAATTTTATAGTACATGTAGTCTTCAGATGTTTCCTAGATCTTATAGTATCATTTTCCATCTTACAGTACTGCTTTTTGTTGCAGAATGTCAAACCAGATCCAAAGACAAGCTGTGGCCCATATTCACCAGTGCCTTCCTCATTTAGCAAGGTGTACCATCATAGATGCAAACAGCAGAAAATGGAGAAGGAGAAGAAACAATAAAATTCGTAATCAGTTTATATCACCACTAATTACTGGCATCATGAGGGTTGACAGACTGCAGTAGTTGGCTAGGCCAGGTAGAGGTTGTTACCAATTAAATATGCAGCCTAATTGACATCACCCCTGGTGCAGAGTGAATTCCTGTGCCTCACGATATTTTCAGCCACACGTCAGGCGACCAGGGAGCAGAACTATTGGTCATGCAGAGGTCAATTGTCATCGATCAGAAGGGACAGGTGTGGTCTGGTACATCCACCAATGGGGCAAACCATAAGATACCCGGGTAATTCCATTTTATAAATACAAGTTCTTCTTCAGATGTCTGATCTGGACCAAATATTGGTCATAACTTTCCAGACTTATCTTCTTCTTCTTCTTTTCTCTAATCCTGGAATGCCTCGATGGCACCTCATTTAGGCTTGTATGTCATTTCTGAGCTGAGATATGCAGGTTTTTTGTGGAGATGAGATGTAAGAAACAGCCGCTAAAACTTGTGACCCAGAAACAAGAATAGACCCAGTTCTGTTGGCTTTGTTGACATATTTGCGAGTAATTTTCAGTGTATAATATGTCCATGGTCCATATTCTGCATGTTCCACCTCTGGTTCTGGTGCCGTGGTAACTTTATTATCTTTATAACACTTCTCTTTGAGAGATTAGGACCCATCCCGGGTTTCAACGGTTTTCTATGGTAACGGAAATTGTCGAAAAGATCGCAAATTTCCGAAGATTGTTGCCACAATATTACAGGCAAATCTACAAACACTTTGATCACAAATCAGGAGACAGTCAGTCTTTGGATTTATCAAAGATGCAAACCGCAGATAATGGAGAGAGAGAAGCAACAATAAAATTCATAGTATGTTTAAATCACCACTAAATACTGGCATCATGAGGGTTGATACACTGCAGTAGTAGAGGTATATGGAGAGGATGGTAGATAACAGATGTGGACCAAGAAGATGGCTGAGAGTTAATATGCAGGCAGATCTACAAACACTTCTGTGTTCATGATATTCTGAACATTTGTGACAATATACACTTCTCAACTACCACCAGTTTCTTCACCATTTCATTACTAATGGCCAGTGCTGGTTAAGTATTCCTGCTTTGAGATATCCCAGTCAAAAATTTGGTCAGTGCCTGGCCATCTCTAATTTACATACAGAAATACACTGGCTAGGATTTATAAATCTCATTAGAAATCCCCTTCATTCCATTTATGAAAAACAAAACAAAGAAATCGACCACGTTTAACCTACTGCAAGCAGTATCGGTTATAATTGTGGTCTGGTTTCTTTATGCCATTTATGTTGGCTGAGAAATGTTAATTGCACCAAAACTAGGGGCTTGGAGCGGTACTTTAGTACCTAGTGAGGGTTATTGGGGAGAAAGCTAGTATGTACTATCACACCCACACATGCATATAAAGACATATATATGTGTGTGTGTACATAACATACATGTTAGCAGGCCCATATGTGAATGCACGCATACGTGTGGGAATGGGAAATAGAGGGATTGAGGAAACGAAGCTTTCCAAGAGAAACCCAAAAGGTGAACGTTATGAGAGAAGCCAAAGCTGCTTGACTGGATTCCATCCATGATATCAAAGTCATTGCACAGGATAGAAAGGATTGGAGGAATAGACTGCGAGCCCCTTTTGCCATAATGGCATAACAGGACAATGAATGAATCTAAATGCACCCTGAAATAGGGTGTGGCAGAGAAGGAAAATGTAATATTTAAAATACAAATGGTCTGTGGCTTAGGCGTTGCGAATGTGCTTCATAATGCCCGGTAGCCGGGTTCGATTCCAGCTGCGGACGGTTTGTCTTGCGTTGGTTTCCTCAGTGTTACTGAGAGCTGACTGTTCAGAAGCAGTGGCAAACTACTGAACGTAAAATGTGCATAGAAAAACCACAACAGCCAAAAAATGCTAGGGTTGGTTCTACAACATCCTGTAAATGATACACAAGGATCTTTTTATATACAAACGGATCAGTGCAATGGGGGTGAGAGATGAGCATGGACTTCACAGCTAGTTGGAGGCATAAGAACATCACAGAGAGGGACATTTGTAAATATAATATCCAGTGTGGAGTGTAGGGGTTGCTTTCTGGCGCTCCATTAATTAATAGAATGTGAGTTTTGTGTGTGTGTTTCAAAGGCATAAACAAATGTATGAATATTTTTAACAGACGAATAGGAGATTCTCCTATTATGGGTGCTGGATCATACGCCAGCAACCAGGCTGGCGGAGCTGCTGCTACAGGGGATGGTGATATTATGATGAGGTTTTTACCCAGGTTAGTACATTTCTTTCTTTTATCTGATTGTTTAATGAAGCTCCATTCCCCATCCATGTGGGTTCTGGAGCCCTGTTATGGTGGAAGGATGTCAGAGGGGAGAAGAGAATAGACCCCTGACTCTTAAAAAAGCATGTCGTGAAAGGCGGCAGTTAAAACACATGGGAACTGCTGAAATCAAATGTTTTGGACCAGAATGCATTGGTATCGCAGCCTAGCTGTAAACCACAAAAAACCTTGCCTAAACCTTTTTAACTGCTTTGGTCACAAAATAGCATAGCTGATGCCTGATTGAAGCAGTAGTGATTACAACAAAAGCATAGGTATACTGCATCTATGAGCTCAAGTACACTGCACATTGTGGGTGACTTGTTTTGCTTGACTGATTTCGTTTGCCTGACAAAACACGTTGACTGATGCACATGATTAATATCCGGCACACATAGCAGAAGACGGAGAAGAACTGAAGAGATTGGGCTACACTGTAACAAGTCAAAGTGAGTGTAAATTGCAGAGAAACATTCAAGCTTGGAGACAACAGTTTATAACCTTTCAAAACAGTTTCATTTACGTGTCTCATTATGTATTGTCAGTATTGTATCCAACACTTGTTTGTCTGTGTCTCCTCCCATTGCTGATGCTTATTAGAAAGTTTTCTCTGCTTCCAATTTACCTCTTGGTTACTACCAGAACACTTCATTTGGATGTATTCTAATGTAGATGCACAAGTGTCTTCACAAATTCTCACCGTTTTCATTAGCAGGTGTTTTCTGACAACATGCAAACTGTGCATATAAACTATCGCAGGATCTCACATAGTATTAAGGGTGGATTTAATCTATCACATATCCCCTACCAGTATCAGGGGTGTATTTCAACTATCACACATTCCCCCACAGTATCAAGGGTGCACACAAACTGTCACATATTCCCTCACAGTATCAAGGGTGTATTTAAACTATCACATCTCCCCCTCCCCCCCCCCCCCCCCCACGGTATCAAGGGTAGATATTTAAACACACATATTCCCCAGCCTTAACTGAGGAGATGGTAACTGACTGAATTATTGGTGCTTTATCCTACCCCAAGCAAGGGAAATCCACAGGTCACGGGTCAGTTTAATATTTCAGGGGGTGTAGATAGGCTGCTTGCAGTCGTTGGACCTAGGCTGCATGCAGTCGTGGGACATAGGTGGGTTGGGGTTAGGGCCAGTTATAGATGTTTTGGGGTCATTATAGGCATCAGAAAGCCAGGAAACCCAGTCTTGCCACCCTCTAAAATGTTGAACTGTCCTGTGGTATCATCTGGGGTTAGATATTAATAAAGAACCGAATTATTGACCGAGGGTTCACATAAATTATCACATAGTCTCACATATGTGGTATCAAGAATTCACGTAGATTGTAACAAACTCTCACATATGTGGTATCAAGAATTCACGTAGATTGTAACAAAAAACTCTCACATATGTGGTATCAAGAATTCACGTAGATTGTAACAAACTCTCACATATGTGGTATCAAGAATTCACGTAGATTGTAACAAAAAACTCTCACATATGTGGTATCAAGAATTCACGTAGATTGTAACAAACTCTCACATATGTGGTATCAAGAATTCACGTAGATTGTAACAAACTCTCACATATGTGGTATCAAGAATTCACGTAGATTGTAACAAAAAACTCTCACATATTATACTTATATATTTATCTTCCCTTCACAGTTTCCGTGCAGTTATTGAGATGGGCCGAGGACTTTCTCCCACTGAAGCTGCCCAGCTGGCACTTGACCCTATTAGAAAATTTCTACCCACATTTCAGCGGTGCACTGGTGGCTGTCAATTTGACCGGACATTATGGTCAGTGTAATTATGTTTCTGCATTTCAGAAGTTTCAGTAAAGTCAGTTTTACAGGTCATTAAAAAACAACAAATGAAGTGGTTTGGACACCTAACAAGAATGCCCTGGTACTATCTGCCACAGCAAGCCAAACTAAAAGGTTACAATGGCTATAGAGCGAGTGAAAGACCTCGGAATGATGGCATTAAGAACAGCCTTACAGAAATGAGTGTCAGTCTTTATAGTGCTCTTGACAGAGCTCATCACGAATGTTACTTTTCCCCCCGACACGTCGCTGAGGTACAAGGTGGAAGAAAAGAAGAATGAAGAAATTAGCTCAGATTTTGGTTGAAGACCGCATAAAGAACTGGATTGACGTCTGGGTCAGGTGGCTCATTGAATCACTAGTGTAACATAGGGTTAAAAGTTAGTTGCGTATCCTTTACAGGACGTTGCAGAACCAACCCCATCATTTTTTGGCTGTTGTGGTTTTTCCAGGCACATTTTTATGTTCAGTAGTTTGCCATTGCTTTCTGAATGGTCAGCTCTTGGTGCCACTCTGAAACCAACGCAAGACAAACTGTATACATCTGGGTTCGACCTGGCACCTTGGCATTACGAAGCGCGTTTGCAACACCTAGGCCACAAACACTGATATTAGGTAGCAGGCCCAAAACCACATACAAAAATTCACAAATCAAAATAGTAGTTCCTTGGCTCCCATGTCGACCCAGCCTTGAGTGGGTACCGGGTGCAGACGGGAAAATTAAAGATGGCTGGTGTGATGCTGACCTTGCCGGTCCGTGGCTCGCTAACTAGGCCTATGACAGACAGACTAACCTACAACACACACTGAACCCGAACGCACACAGAGCACACACGACAATCTTTATTGGAAGTACAGGTAATACATAGACAGTTGACTTCCCGCCGTGTGGCCACCTATTGCCTGGACCCTCTGGCTGGACGGGCTTTACAATCGCCCCGTCCCCAGTACGTGCGACAGGCAATACTCTGGTGTACAAACCACAATCCGGCAGGATACGCTCTCTTCTATCGCCACGCTGACCCAATCAAACTGTCACAGTCTCTGTCTTAGTGCAGGGTCAGAGTGTCCAGGTTAGCCACTCTCTCACAGCACATATACATAAATACTCTACACAAGAACTATCCTATCCTAACACAAAACTGTACATAAACTATCCAGTCACTAACAGAAATATATCCTAACTCTAATACTATAACACAAACTATCCAGTCACTAAACGTCCTCTCTTCCTGACTGACGCACACCGAATGTCCCTTCTTCCTTCTACCTCGTGTCTCTTAACCCCGTTCACCAGCTCAGTCCCAGAAGCAGTCATCGTGTTACTAAAACACAGTTCAGGCTTTCTTGCTTTATCCTGAGCGCTGGTTTCGCCGTGCGATCACAGAACAGACTTGACCAGTGACGGCCCTGACCTCTGTGTCAACCCTGGGCGCACACCTTACGGTGTGGTACACTGACTGTACTTAATAGGGTTGTGACATTCACCCTTCCTCTGAACTGATACTTCCTGACAAAGTCAAGTATCAGCAATATTTAGTTACCTAAAAAAAAAAATATGTCATGTACTTTTGGGTCAATCACCTAAGGACAAACTATCTGGCACATATTTAATGGGTATATACATTCAATGGGTAAGCTCCTCCCTAATGGGTAGAAATGGTATCAGCCCTTGACACAAATACGTCACTACTCATTACACCTTCAAATCATATGGGTAATGATATAAATAATAATTTGGGTGGACACCCAAATCGTCCGGGACCCAATTACACCTTACTTCACTTACTGTGCAAGTAAGACGCCACTGTATACACTCCCAAGCCGTTTAACCAACGACACCGTGATTTATAACAGTGGGCGTCATGGACTGTCTCCACAAAGACTTATCCATGGTTGTGAAAAGGAGTCATGACCTGACTCCCCGACCTACAGTCGTATAATGTGTCCGCGAATCCGCAGTACCTGCCAAGACACAAATCACCCCATATGACCCACAGTGCAAAATAGGCAGTAAACAAATCTGTGGCCAGTTGGACACACTCCCATCCTCCAAGGATAGTGCTACTCCTCAAATGCAATCTCCATATATGCATTATTAGTTACAACATCATTAACTCTCCATGTGAGTGCCCTTGTAAAAGTACAATCTAACTCTCATTTAAATTGTCAATCATCAATTTTAGAAACCAATAAAAAACAATTAAAAGAGAAAAAAGAAAATAAAGAAAATTTAAAGAAAATTTCGTTGTCACTGCTAAACTAAATTGTCAGTTATTTTAAAGTCTACTAGTTTACAAAACTATCTACTCATAATGCACTATTGTCTAACATATACTTTAACAATTACATTTAGTGCACATAGGACACTCAGTTAATATTAAACTCATTGAAACCTTTAATAAAAATAATGGATATCAGATTAAGTTTCAAAAAAAAACCGAAGAATATTATTATTGCAATTCAAGAATTTTAAAACAAAAGTAATTGCAAATCAAACAATTAACATTACTTATGTGATCTAGCCAAAAATCTTTAGCAAAGAAAAGAAAAGAAAATTTATTTGCCAAATGGATTGTCCCACAAATAATTTTACACTGAAAATAAATAAGTAAAATACATACATAATAATTTCACACACAACAGTCATTACACTATATTCATTCCAACAAAACAATAAATTTACAAATCAAAATAAATAAGCAAATTATACATGAAATAATTTTTAAACTCAAAATTATTTCCCTTTTATAAATACCACCTCAATAGTTACAAATCAAAATAAATAAGAAAAATAAATACCGATAAATTACTCATCATAGATACCCAACACAATAATTACAAATCAAAATAAATAAGAAAAATAAATTTTGATAAATTACTCATCATAGATATCAACACAAAAGTTACAAATCAAAATAAATAAGAAAAATACACCAATAAAAATTTTGCGAATGACATTGAATGAATAAACTTATCAATTCAAAACCAAATAATATACATGAAAAGAAAACATATAAAACATATAGCACATACAAACATATAAAACATATAGCACATACAGAACATACACAATCCATCCAACATATATTATATTAAAGATGAACATAATAAGATTAACTTATAATATGACAATCACAACATAGACTTCTATTTTATACATTCATTCCCTTTTATTCCAATTACACTCTTCTTTCATACATCACATTTTCCATTCTGCTGAAGTCCTTAGAATGATCATCACCTCTATCTTCCTGTTGGGTAATCTTTTACGATTGTTCAGTTCACTGGTTTTAGGCTAGAACAGTACTTGTATACACTGCTACTTGACAACTGGATCTATGAAACTTGGTGTAGAATTCCGTTATGAGACAGTTTCTAGTCATTCAAGAAGGCATGAATATATGAAGACAATGTTTCACACAGTCTTTAAATTTCTGAAGGTACCAGACTGTCAATTTCAGGATACCACTAGGCAATCAATAGTTTTACAGCCGGCTTAATAGGTCAGCCGGGTTGTTGCTGTTGCCCTTGTTGTAAGTGATTGTGAATTGGAAATCTTGCAGTAGCAGTGCCCGTCTGGTGATTCTATTGTTCTTCGGCGCACCAGACTTAGTGACGAGCAATGGCTGGTTGTCCGATTGTAGGACAAAAAGTCTGCCCAGGAGGTAACGATTGAGTCTTGTCACACAGACAATCACTGCAGGACACTGTACATAGTGTACCTGGGCTGGAGACAACCTACTGCTCACACAGCAGTTTGGGTGTAACATCTCGCCATCCCACTGCATCAGACATACCGCAACTGCCGTACCACTGGTATGATATCTGAGAACAAATGGTAATATGATATTAGACAGATTTAAAATAGGGGAACTGGAGAAAAGAGTCTTGATTTTGGTGAAAGTATGATCTAGTTCTCGGTTCAACTCAATTGTATTGGAATGCTCCCTTTTTAATGGTTTAGTGAAAAATACATTTTCCTGGATAATGTTCAAGGTAAATTGGTTGTAATGATTGATGAGGTCGAGTAAGCTTCGGATCTCCTTATTGTTGGTGGAGTTTTTAAGATTCAAAATTTTGGGAAGATCTGTAAATCCAAAATGTTGTGTATTCCTTGAACATCAGATAATCTATAAGGCATCATTAATAAACATGCACATGTCAACAGTATACATTGCAGTATCAGAAATAATAAAGTATGTTTTATTTTGACCGGTTTGTTGATTATTAATTGTAGATGCTGGTAAATGTGTGTACATCTGCCTGGCACATCAGAGAGAACATTATCAATTTCAGCTTTCTGTGTAGATGTTTCTGAAATTTGTTGGGTAATATTAGGTGTAAGGGTTTGTTTGGTTGCAGGTAAGTCTTGTAGGACAGACAAGAGAATATCTGTCGTATCAACTACATTAGAGTCAGGAATGACAGTTCTATTATGGAACTCCTCAACCACTAATTTGTCAGTTGGTTTAGAAGGGATTGGTAACAGTTCTTCCGAATAAACATTATCGGGAGAGATTTCAATTGTTTTATTTGTGTAGCAATTCTCTGAAAGGTTTGTTTGAGTTGATGTGTTGACAGTTAAAATATTTTTCATACATACACTTTCATTCACATCAATCTCTCTCACTGACTGCTGTCCAGTTACAACATTGCAAGTTATGTTGTCACACCGTTACATGTCATGCACTCATATATGTTCTTTACTTCTTCTTTACTTTTGCTTGGGTCGTTGTTAGCACCGCTGGCACATAATGAGTCTTTTCCCACTCCTGTATTTCTTTAATGGTACAACTGTACATAAACTATCCAGTCACTAACAGAAATATATCCTAACTTTAATACTATAACATAAACTATCCAGTCACTAAACGTCCTCTCTTCCTGACTGACGCACACCGAATGTCCCTTCTTCCTTCTACCTCGTGTCTCTTAACCCCGTTCACCAGCTCAGTCCCAGAAGCAGTCATCGTGTTACTAAAACACAGTTCAGGCTTTCTTGCTTTATCCTGAGCGCTGGTTTCGCCGTGCGATCACAGAACGGACTTGACCAGTGACGGCCCTGACCTCTGTGTCAACCCTGGGTGCACACCTTACGGTGTGGTACACTGACTGTACTTAATAGGGTTGTGACAAAACTATAACACAACAAGCCAACCGCCCTTTCAAAGATGAACACAGAACATTTCTACAAATTAAATCAATGTTTGATGGATGCCTAAAATATTGTTTATAAAGTGTCTTAGTGACATGGGGGTTATAGTGGCTAGCATGCTCGTCTGCTCAGCAGTCATAGATTTGAACCCCTTTATTTTTGTTAAAACTGACCAAGACTCTCAGTTTTGGTACAACCCATGATTGTCGCCCCATCTTCTTGTTTGGCTGGGTGATTTTGTATTCATTCCCACGGGCGGTACTATGTTCTAGGGGCATCAGGTGTTGTTTGTTTTGAAAGTTTTAAGCACATCCACCACCAATGATGATTCGGTACTGGCAAACCGTCGCGCCTTCAGTGCTTCCCTTGCAGTACTTATTTCTTGTACACAAGTGCCTGCGGCGCCTGAGCTACTCACAACAACACATTCCACAAACAACAGTCGTCCACAGAAAAGACAGCTGTGACAAGAAAGCTGACCTCTTTCATCCGGGACCAATGTATCGAACGAACCCAAGACAGTTTTTGGCACGAGGTGTATAGACATCAAAAGAAGGCGTTTCATAATACAGCTAGTACATAGGACAGCCCGTGGGAGTGAATACAAAATCACGGGGCTGAACAAGATGGGGTGACAATCATGAGTTGTACCCCAGTTTCTTCTCCTGCTTCTTATCTTCCTACAGTTTCTTAAAGTTTAAGAGAATAAGGATGTTTCTTTCCAACCTGCTTTGTCAACTGGTAATTTTTTAAGATTCCTAGAGGGCAAAATGGTTAAACAGCCCTTTCATCATTTTATACCCAAGGAGCTTTGATGACATGTCAGTTTGAGTGTAACTTTAGTACTTTATAACCATTCAACTGAAATGATAAATAATGTTAATTTATTAATGGAATTTGCGATAAACATAAGGTTGATTGTTGCTCTTTGCAGGTGCCTCTTGCCATGGATTCAGCTCCTTCAGTTTTAGTGTGGCATCTGCACAGTTTCAGGATGTTCAAGTTTTAGAGGTTCCATGCTCATCCTAGCTTGCTAATCATCAATATTAGCCTTTAAGTTCATTCTGTTTCAAGAAGCAAATCATGCGGTATTTTCCTGTTAGGAAGTCACTTGATGCAATAACATAAGTATTTAAATCAGTACTTTTTATGAAGAATTTTTATTGGGGATCTTCTGTATAATGTAAGTAATAGCAAACTTTTTTTTATCTTTGGGGAAGACGTGTGTTCTCTAGGGATATCATGACAGGTATGCATTCCATGTATATGATGGTGTTTATGCCAAATTTATACTTGTTTACACAATCATCTAATCTCATCTTGGTTCTCATCAACCTTGTGTTGAGGTGTTTCTTCAAGCAATGAAAGTAAACCCACGACGGCTTGCTGAGCTAATCACATGTTGACAGAAAAATTGACCTAGATGTGTCCATCCATCCAGGCGAGCCAGAACCCTGTTGGCTCTTGACCCTGTGGCCTTGGTTTCCCAGTCTACACCACTTGGAGGTGGGGTTGGCTTCTGTGGTCTACAGGTTATCAGCAAGCTCCTGATTTTAGCTTTTCACTCCTTGAGAGACTAGATGATCCCAACCAGGGCCAGGTGCAGCCTATACCTTGTAGGCGCAATCTTCTTCTTCTTCTTCTTCACTTCCTCTTTTACCGCTGTGGGTGTCGAGGGAGATATAAGGTTCTGTTTCTAGCTCTTCTGGCTGCCTCGACCATAGGCACATCGTGCTGTTGTAGAGTTTCTCTGATGTTATCCTCCCATCTTGTTTTTGGTCTACCCCGTGCTCTACGTCCTTCTTCTCTTCCCATGTATGCTTTGTATGGTATGGTGTCACAAGGCATTCTCTCTAAGTGGGCAAACCATTTTACTTGCTGTCTTTGTATGTAATCCAGAATTGGTTCTGTGCCGACTTGTTCTCTTATGATCTCATTTCTGATCTTATCTCTTATGGTCACTCCTACAGCCCTTCTCAGACATCTCATTTCCGTGGTTACTAATTTTCTTTTATGGTTTGTTGTGAGTGACCATGTCTGGCACTGGTAGCACAGAGTTGGAATAAATATGCTTTGAATAAGATGTCTCTTTGTGCTGACTGGGATTGTCTTATGCTGTAAGAGGGGGGCTAGCTGTCCCAATACTTGTTTGCTTTACTGCATCTAATGTCAATTTCTTTATCCAATTTCCCATCTTCGGTAAATGTAGTTCCCAGATATTTAAACTCAGATGCCTGTTTAATGCCTTTGTATTCTATTGTTATGTTTAGATCTGTCTTCTTTTTTCCTATTGACATTACTTCTGTCTTTTCAGTGTTGATTTTCATATTATTTGTTTTACATTCTTCATTCATGGATGTTAGATGTTGTTGCAATTTCATGGCTGTATCTGCTATCAAGGCCTGGTCATCTGCAAAGAGTAATTCGTTGATCTTACTAAGATCTTCATTCATAGGCTTGGCATTCTTGCATATACTGTCGATGTAGGTGATAAACAGCAGTGGTGATAAGACACATCCCTGTCTTACTCCAGATGTCACTGTGAAAGGATGAGATGTTCCCTGATTTATTCTAACTACACTTCTACAATCCCTGTATAAACTTTTGCACACTTCGATGAGGTGTTCGCTTACTCCATATCTTGACATTATTTTCCATAATAATTGTCTGTCGACTCTGTCAAATGCCTTCTCCTGGTCTGCGAATGCCACAAATAAGTTCTTATTGTATTCAATGTTCTTTTCTATTAACTGTTTAAGTGTGAAGATTGCATCTGTGCAGCTTCTATTTCTCCTAAAGTAGGCGCAATGCTTATCTTATATTTGTTAATCTGTATCTGATTGTCGAGGACATTGTTTCTTTCCTATCTGTCATGGCTACCGTCATGCAGTGCCAGTTCATTCACAAACATTGCACATAAGAAGACCTGATCTGAAAGCAAGAAAGTGCCCAGGGAGAAAATGGACTGATTAAAAACACTGTACTGCCAACTGTATTTCCCTATGATGCTTCACAATATCATACTGTATGTTATATATTATTGGTTGCCACAAACTTGTGTGGATGTTGTTCTATAGACAGGGTTGCAGTTAGTTGATAAGTGCAGATTATGGACACTGCTGGGTCTAAATATGTAATATCTCTTATCCTTTCCACCATTTTATTCATTAAATTTTTATTGAATATTTAATCTTGTTTGTCAGCAATTCAGTTCTGGTGAGAGTGGGATTGGAGTGAAAGAGTCAGTATCTTATCCATGTTTTCATTTGTTATCTCTTTTGGGGACGGGTCGGCGCCAGCATTGTCATATTATATAAAGCCAAATCTATTTTCTGTTTGGTATATCTTTAGATTGCTGACCTTTAGAAGCTAAACCTTTCTGGGAAAAGTCAGCCTAATCATGCTTATGGCAATTCTATCACAATGCTAAAGTTTTATCTGATAATAGCTCGCTACACTTAGGCTTATCAGTGGATTTCTAGTTCGCTTGAAAAATATTTGTGTGTGTGGGAATTTACCCACTTTATTAACACCTTTCGGGAGCTGCGGGTTCCGGGTTCAATCCCCGGTAAAGGTTGGGATTTGTTCATGTGGACTTGGGCTTCTAGTAATTCCCCCTGGTCTCTGGGTAGTGACACCAGATGCCCGTGTGCATTGTTGCGCACATAAAAAATCCCCTGGCAGTTGGAAATCGAAAAGAGTAGCCTAACGGCGCTTCCTGGGTGAAATTTGGAATTAAAAATCTACCCAAAGTATTGCAGGATCCTCGCTGATGCTACAGGGCCTGTGCACTGTGCTGAGCTTCTTTTGACTCAGATGAGTTAGAAGAACGAAGCACTAATGATGTTGATCCATTGTTCAAACCTCAACATCTTTTATCTTTCTAGGTGTTTTTTTTTCTGTGGAAAATTGTTTATTTGTGTGTGTCTATAGCAACAATGAAGTACTCATATTTTAAGACAATGGCACACATCAGGAGTCATAGAGGCTGTGTATTGTGATGTATTCATTTGTGTAGTGTGTACTAACTGTTAATCAGTAGTTGTAATAACTCGAGGGGTGTTGTCGTATAGTCATTTCATTATTAGCGTAGTTTTTCTACTATGTGTACTACCCTCTGATACTTGTGGCCCTGTTATACAGTATTCTAGATGTGAGCTCATCATCATCATCATGTGTAGCAGGTCCTTTGCAGAACGTCGCTCTCATCACAGTCTGCCTAAAAGAAACTCGGTCTCTCACCAGCTCTCAAGCCTCATGTACTTTCATACTCAAGGAGTCACTTATATCCTATGCCCATCTTCGTGTTGGTCGGCCCCTGCCCCTCCTTTCTTTGTGCCATGCCTTCTGCTATTATTTTTTTCTTTTAAATCTGTCGTGGCACTTGATATGACCAAAATATTTCAGCTTCCGAGACAGGATGCTGTTTATTAGCCAATCTTCCTTGATGTTCAGATCTTTCAAGATGTCAATATTTCTTCTCTTCTTTGACATGTGAGCTTACAACCATTTAAAAAAAAAAAAGACAAAAAAATTTGCAGACAACAAAATGGAAAATAGTTCTGACTAGCTTAGATAAGAGCACAACAAACGTTTAGAGCTCAAAGGGCATAAACTCTCGCACTTACTCCGCTTCTTCCTTTTAAATACTCAATTCTGAGACTCATTCTTCTCAGAATCTTTTGATTAGACACATCAGCTTTCATTTTTTTCACATTTAATATACAGGAAACAGCAAATGGACACATAACTGGATGAGATTCAGAGAACCATAAACAATTTTTGAGAACCCAATAGGGGTTCTAAATGCATCCCATTACCCAGTATGTTGGATATTTGACAAGAGGACCAATAAAACAAATTGTGGTAGAGATTATCACAGTCAATGGTCTACAGGTTGACTGCAAGTATCACACCCCAGTTTGATGCATTGATTTTTTGTTGAGCTTTTAGAAACTGTCAATTAACAGAGGTAATATGGAAGTTCATGGAGCAATAGAAAGTTCCACTGGAGGTGGTAACTGCAGTTCTCCGTTGGCTAGAGAAGAAGATGAAAAACACATGTTGTAATTGTAACAGACTCTGAAAAGCATGCTGAGAAAAGTGAAGACAGGGATGCTTCAAGCAGAGTGGCAAGCTTAACTGGGAAGGTCACGGATAGTGTATGCTTTGGATCTTTTCTCCAGGCCATGCTGGCGTGGTGGGTAATGAACAGGCAGACAGATTGCTGGATCTGCACCACTGGGTGGTGAAACTGACACATCCCCCCCAGAAAGTGCTGCAACCTATGTCACAGGCATTCTCTTTCTCGGAATGAAAACGTAAATGCAAGACAACCCAGAAAGCAAACAACAGAGCGGGACACACCTGTAACCTGCAGGAAAGTCGACCAGCCCAACAAGCTTGTGAATGAAATGTGACCTACTTTGTTTGGAGAGACTAACTTAAACCTAACCCAGTAAAGAAACTACTGAAAAGATTATAACTGAAATAAAAGTGTATAAGTGGAATGCATGTAACACAAAGGTCTCAGTGTCGTGCACCGCTAGTCAAATAACAGAGGATAATATAGAAGTTCACGAGCCAACAGAAAGTACCACCCATATGACAAAGTAACCTTTCTAAAGTTTAGTAGTTACCCAGTAACAAAGAGAAAGGTTAACAGCACACATGATTATATTATACACACATCTGAATGTTACACTGTAAAGTTGATGATTGTCTCCTGTGCAGTTACTTTATAAAGTATATACTTTTTTTTTTTATTGATAAGACAAAGTAAAAAAAAAAAGGTTAAAATAAAAAAAAGTGGACTGATGATCAGAAGAGAGGGAATACCATGTAACAGATTCAAACTTTAAAATGTTTCCTCCTCAGAAAGCCATTTTTGCGGCTTCTGGTTAACATTGTCTTTGGACAATGCCCAGTATACCTGTATGACAACTTTGGTACTGTTCACTGTACATTGTCTTTGGACAATGCCCAGTATACCTGTATGACAACTTTGGTACTGTTCACTGTACATTGTC